TTTCCTCAAAAAATAAAGTGTAATAAAGCTGGTAGAGAATAAAATGATAGATTATTTTTGAAGTAGTTACTGAGCAAAGATAATTGGGATATTTTTAGTAAATATAAAACATTGGATTTGGGGAAGAAAACTTTGTTTTGCATTACATTGTTCTGATCATTTATAATAAATATTAGAATGTGTCTAATGTGTTTATTACCAAGCATATCTATTTTCATGCCTTCCATACTTAAAGTGCAATGGCTGAGCACTTGGTGGCTAACCATAGCGTTGGAAGTTCAAACCCACCTAGTGGATCCATAGGAGAAAGACCTTGGAATTGCTCCTGTAAAGATTACAGCCTAGAAAACCCTATGGACAGTTCTCCTCTGTCACATGAGATCACTATGAGTCAAAAGTTGACGCGATGGCACCTAACAACATGCTTGAAATACGTTTATTATTTTTTTTTTCATTCAACAATTGTTAATGGAGCATTTCATTGTAGTCAGTAGAGATAAATGGTAATTCACCATGACAAATAGACACCTCATAAACAAGAAACTATCAGATAGGAAGGAGTGCAGTGCAGAAAATTAAAAGAGGGTGATGTACTAAGAGTGACTCCGGAGTACTTTAGAATGGATGGTCAGGGAAAGCCACTTCTAGGAGGGGACACCTCACTTTAGATTTGTGTGATAAGAAGGAGCCATCGAGCACCAGGGAGGAAGAAGGATCATTGCAGGCAGAAGGCACAGCTAGTGCAAAGGCCTTGAGGCAAGAATGAGCTTGCAGTGTTCAGGGAAAGAAAGAAAGCTGGTGTGGCCACAGGGAAGATGGGGAGATGATACTAGATGAATGGGAGAAATAAGCAATACCAGATCACACAAGGCTTTGTAGACCAGGGCAAGGAATTTGGGTTTATTCTAAGTGCGATAATGGAGCTCTGGTGCCTCAGTGCATAAGGCATTTGACTGCTAATCAGAAGGTTGGTGGTTCAAACCACCAGCGACTCTGCGAGAGGACATGAGGCAACCTACTTCTGTAAAGATTTACAGCTTTAGAAACCCAATGAGAGTCACTATGAGTCAGAGTTGACTTGATGGCAGTGGATTTGGTTTTTGGTTTTCTGAGTGATAGGAAGCCATTGAAAGATTTCAAGGAGGCACTTACTGAAAAGATCTTTCTTGAGTTAGCATGTGCAAGCCACTGTACTATGTTTTCTATAGCAGAAGCAAACGCAACTGAGATAAGATTCTGCCCTTAAAGAAATGACAATTATTAATTCAAAAAACACCAAACACTGGGGGCACAATGGTTTAAACCCACCCAGCAGCTCTGTGGGGGAGAAGACCTGGCGATCTGCTTCCATAGTAATGACATCCATAGCGATGACATCCATAGCGATGACAGCCTGGGAAACCCTGTGGTAAGTTCTGCTCTGTCATATAGCGTCACAGTGAGTCAGAGTCAACTTGACGGCACTCACAACAGCAAGACAGAGAATAATGAAGTGTTTTGATTATGCACTGTGCAGTTGTTTCTTTATATTGTATAAAGTACCTATATGTTAATGAGCTGATCCTTTTAAAATTATCAGTACTTACCTGGCCATGGTAAAGCCATCTTATTTACTAATATTAACAATTGTATACATTCTTGACAGATACTTAGATTAACATTCTTTTAAAAACAATAGTATGCCTTTCATTTAAAATGTAACTGTAACATTTCTTCTTGGGGTTTCTTCTGGGTCCACCTGACAGCGTATACTGGCCCTTGTTCGTCCTGATATTTCACGCCATTTCCCCCATCCCCCACTTCATTGCCAAAAGAACAACATATGACTCAGATGCAACAAGTAGTGCCTGTCGGGAACTAGCATATTTCTTCACTACTGGAATTGTCGTTTCTGCCTTTGGATTTCCTGTTATTCTTGCTCGGGTGGCTGTGGTAAGTTTTGTTTTCTATTGTTCAGCCAGATTGTCACTGTGTTTACTTCAAAGGCCTCTGTCTAGGACCTCAGTTTCATTTTCAGTGCTTTTACTTTATACTCAAACCCAGATGTGTTTTTAGTTTCTCTGTTTCTCCTTTGCAGATCTGTCTGTCAGTCTCTTGGCCACATTTTTAAAATGCTGTCTTTGTTTCCATTAACAGTCCTTAGCCAGACCATGTTCTTTCTTGCGTTTTCTACCTTCAACTGTTCTCCTGAATTGTTCTTATATCTCTGCCTCCTACATCTTAGGACAATCCACAGAGACCACAGTAGCAATGCATTTCTAGTTACAAAGCGAATATCATGTCAGATTTCTCTCCTGCAAACAGAACCGTGGACTCGACTCTCAATTCCATAATAGGCATCTATTGAGGGATGACTTTTAGATACCAGAAGATAAAGTGGATAAGATGACATCCTTTTGGACCCAATGTAAAAACTTTCTTCTCCAAAAAACACATGGTTCATGTAATTTATGCAGTTCTTTGATGCTTACTGTCTTTCCTACTGTTTGCTTTTATTTCTCCCACTCTGAATTACATTCTGTTTCCGTTTTGTGAAATTATCGTTGAGGGTGTTGAGTATCAGATGTGCACAGGTCTTGCTTATTCATTCAGTAAGTATCTTTGGAACATCTGCTCTTTGTACAATCCCGTGAACTAGCGTGATGAGTCAGTATACTGTACGTGCACTGGAATATGATCAGAAGGCCATAGAGGAGAGACATTCCAACTGGCATGTGATACGGTCCTCGGAGCATAAATAGGGTTTTGACTCATGTAGGGAAAGCTGTTATAAACAATGGCACCCAAGTGAAAATGCAGTTTGTAGAATAAAGAAAAACCCAGTGTATTATGTTAATGATGGTAGAATCATTTGGGGAAGAATAGAGGAAATGATTGCCCAACTTCAAGTATGTAATCAATGTCACTGAATTATACGTGGAGAAATTGTTGACTTGGTGTATGTTGTGTTTTGTATATTTTCACCACAATTTTAAAAAAGAAAAATCAGGGTGCTCTAGTATGATGGAGCAAAAAGGGAGCACTTGAGGTAGAAAGGTTGGTAAGGGAAAGCCTGCCTGGGGAACGGTTTTGAGCACCATGTCAGGTTGTACTTGATCTAGGTAATGGAGAAGCATGAAATGTTCTTTATTAAAAGATTCTCGTGACCCTATACTTGTGCCTCAGACCAGCATTTATTAGGTTTGCTATAAATATTTTTGTCTTTTATTACTGCATCTGTTTTATGAAGAAACGTCATTGGTGTTTCTATTGGTTATAGAAAAACAAAAAATGTCCACTAGAGGGTGCTCTTACCTCCGATTGTGCTTTTGTAAAATCAATCTGCCAAGCTGGGGAGCTGCTTTTATTTGTATACAGATTATTTATTATTTAAAGTCTTTGCCACCTAGAAAAGAAACAACCAAACCCATAACTTCAATTCCTGTTTGCCACAAAAGGAGGCAATTCGTGCAAAACTTTCAATACCCAGTATTATAATTGGATCACTCATAATCTTTCTACAAGTATTTTGCTTAAGGCAGTTATTATCTACTGAAAACAACTAGAGCAATATGTCTAATGGAGAACAAGTTAAGGATGGTACTAGACTTAATTAATAACCATCATGCAAGTAATTAGACTAATTATTGAATAGTTCTTTGTCTCCCACCTATTACGTTATTAAGACTTTTAGCAGCTTTATGTAATATTTCATTGGATGTTTCTAATGCAGAAAATAACAGAGATTTGCAAATACGCAGTAAGAAGAGAATAAAAAGTAAATCCTTCTTTTCTTGTGTTTCAGATCAAGTGGGGAGCTTGTGGCCTTGTGCTGGCAGGCAATGCAGTCATTTTCCTCACAATTCAAGGCTTTTTCCTGGTGTTTGGAAGAGGAGATGATTTTAGTTGGGAGCAGTGGTAGCACTTTGTTCTGAAGGCATTGAATTTCTTAGAATTCTTACTGTATGTATATGTGTACACATACGGCATTTTACTATGAAATTTAATATGCTGTTTTTTGATACCTTTATATCATGTTCCCTTTAAGGAGGACTAAATGTGTAAAAGATTAGTTTTATTCCCAGCAAATAAACCTAATGCCGTTGGGTCAGTTTTGACTCACAGTGACCCTATACAGAGTTGGACTGCCTCACAGGGTTTCGAAGGCTGTCATGTTTATGGAAGTGGACTGCCACATCTTTCTCCTACAGAGCAGTACATGGGTTCAAACTGCTGACCTTTGGATTAGCAGATGAGTGCTTAATCACGGTGCCATCAGGGCTCCTTCCCAGCAAATAGACCTCTTCACTTACTCAAATTGAATTACGTTACTGGATTTTTTTACAATAACACACCCACATAAATAATGTGCCCACCCACATTTAATAACGCTCAGCATAACACATTTACAAAAATAGTGCAGGGAGGGTTGTGGGTTGGCAAAAAACATAACGTGTGGGTTATTTGTGTAAAAATACGATACTTGTTAAGCTGTTGATATGGTCATGGTGCTCTCAGAAATGTATTAAGCTAGCTCTGGTAGCATAGTGCCTAAGACACTTGACTGCTCACCAGAAGGCTGGCGGTTCAAACCCACCAGCCACTCCTCGGAAGGAAGGTTGGGCAATCCTACTTCCGTAGTGATACTGCCTCGGAAACCCAAGGAGGGGTCGCTATGAGTCGGGTTTGACTCGACGGCACATAACAACAACAACAACAACAAGTGTGGTGGACAGCAAAGCAGTCTAGCTACTCCTTTTGTCTGAAGATGTGCTTAGGTAGGCAGCTGACCCTGGAGCAGGCCTCAATTCCACTCAGCACTTCCAAGTGCTAATATGAGGCAGTCCTACTCTGTATATTTATGGCCCAGAAAGACAGAAATGGCCCTTTCTGTCTGCTGTAGACTCTTCTCAAGAGTGTGGCCCATGGACCAAGAGCATTGCATCTCCTTGGAGCTCATTGAAATGCAGACTCTGAGGCCCCACCCCAGACCACTTCATTTTGATAAGAGATCCCAGTTGAATGTATACACATTAAAATTTAAGAAGCTCTGTCATAGAGGAGGAGTCCTTGGATAGCCCAAACTGTTAACCATTTGACTGCTAACCAAAAGGTTGGTAGTTCAGATCCACTCAGATGCCATGGAAGAAATGCCTGCCAGTTTACTTCAAATTATCACAACCTTTGAAAATGCTATGGAGCATTTTCTACTCTGCTACACATGGGGCCACCATGAGTCCAATTGACTCGATGGTAACTGATTTGGATTTTCGGTGTCTTAGAAGACCATACTCTTTGGTATTTTCCAGATGTTCAAACATATATAGCCTATTTCTCAAATGTGTGAAAAGGCTTCCAAATGAGGAACAGATATACCCTCTGAAAGGAGTGGCTGTTTTCACAATGTGTGGATGGGGGGAACAGAGTAATTAGAGTAACAGTGGGGTGCAGGGGAACCTGTCCCCGCTTCTAGCAGGACAAGGAAGAATAGATAGGAAATATTTTGTAATTTCCTTGTATCATCTGGCACTTGCTTCCTCCCTGTTCCACTTCATCCCCATTTCTCACCAGTTCTGATGGACCCTTACTTCTTAACAACTCTGGCTTCTCTTTCCTCTGGAGACATGAGAGCCAAGTAAGCAAGCAGAGAGGGAACTGTTGCATTTTATCTACATGTTGATGTACTCATTGTCTTTCATGCCCTGTAAGACTTAATATAACTTTATGCCACCATTAAATGTATCATGGGGAATAAGTTTCATGCTGGATCCTACAGTTTTTCTAGCTCAACTAACTTTTGATCCAAGACCTATTGAGAAACGGAAATATGGGAAATAAAAACAAGTGACCAGGATGATCGAAGATTTTTAAACATTGTTAATGTGTGATAACTGATATATATACAAAAACACTTGACACCCAGAGGCTTGCAAACTGAATAATTAGCTCACCCCTTCGTATTCTGGTATGATATTGGAACCAGGAAAAGAAATGCAATACCTAAAACGATAATATGTAAAGTTATTTTTTTGTCCTTGTGCATAATTGTGTATTTTTAGTGCTCTATGTATGTATGGAATTGTTACTTCCAATATTTATATTAGAAAAATGATACAGATACTTTATGAATTTTAGTCATCATTTTTAAAAATAACACGGACTCTTACTGAATTATAATAAATTTCTCTTTTCACACAGATGAAAGGTTTAATTTTAAAAGTCTTTATTCTTGCTTAAAAAAATAACACAACGAGAAGTTCTTGGTATTTTGAAATGGGTAATTTTGAGCAATAATCTGTCCTAGTAGAATAATAGCAATAACTTTTAAGGTATCGTTTTAAATGTCTGAATTGGCTTGCAATAGCTTTTTCTTGCTCTAAGATAGAAACAGTGATAAATTTCTTTGACCTTTTATAAAAGTGTCTTTCTTGCTTATACATATTTCAAATAATCAAGGTTATTTGAATGTATGTAATATGTAGCCTTAAGCATTACCTCTTGTATTTGCAGAATGATATAAAGTCCTTGCATATTTGTAGCTGTTCCTAGTAATAGAATTGTTTATTGAAGTGATAGGTTGTTGTATTTGGTGTGTCTGAAAAGAGACACATTTATTCAGCTGTGCCTAAGTATCACTTCAGTTACAAATGTCAGTAGTAAAGTATTGCTATACTTAATATAATAACACAAGTTTAATCTTGGTGACACAAATATTGGGCTTTTTTTTTTTAAGTTTCATTTTTACTGTGCATCTTAGAATATATTTGGAGATTCAAAACATATTGATTACATGCTAAAACTTAAAGAATACACTTAAAGAATTGCACCCAAATAGATAATCTCCATATTATGAAGGATTCTGTGTCATGTTTCTAAACAACTGCCTTACAGGCTGACTTTGAAACGCTTTTCCCACAGAAACACTATTATGAAATTGGTGATTCAGTTCCCAGGATGAGCTTCAAGAGCAGGCTAAACCTACATGTAGCTGACCTATCTACTAAAGATCCCTGCCTTGAGTTTTGGGTCTTAGGAACAGGGTAGTGTGAACAGTTTGGAAATAGAAAAAAAGTTTCCACCTCTTTTCCTAAGAACAAGGTCTTTGTCACCTTTTCACTTCAATTTTTGCACCCCCTTCCATTTACTAAAGAAGCGCTGGTAGGGAGCATAGTGGTTAAAGCATTTGGCTGCTAGCCAAAAAGGTCGATGGTTCAAACCTACCAGCTGCTCCGTGAAAGAAAGATGAGGCAGTCTGTGTCCATAAAGATTTACAGCCTTGGAAGCTCAATGGTGTTGCTATGAATTGGAATCGACTAGATGGAAGTGATTTGGGGGTAGGGTGGGGGTGGGTTTCTAGATGGTGCCGTGGTTAAAGCACTCTACTGTGAACCAAAAGGTTGATGGTTCGAACCCACCAGCCATTCCACAGGAGAAAGATGTGGCAGAGTCTGCTTCCATAAAGATTTAAAGCCTTGAAAACCCTATGGAGCAGTTCTACTCTGTCTTATGGGGTTGTTTAACATCAGAATTGACTTGACGGCAGTGAGTTTGGTGTGGGCCCACATTCTGAGGAGTCCCTGGTTGGTACAAACAGTTACCCATGTGGCAGCTCACCAAAAGGCTGCATGTCCAAGTCCACCTCAGAAGGCCTGGCAGTCTACTTCTGAAAAATCAGTCTTTGGAAACCCTGTGGAGCAGTTTTACTCTGACAGAGCAGTTTTACTCTTACACACATGGAGTCACCATGGGTCAGAATCGACTCCATGGCAGTTGACCCACTTCCTAATGCCCTACTTCATGTGTCCTTCGGTCTAGACACACTCCAGTGGGTTTTGCTGTCTTTTCCCTACTGTGGCCTCCCTCCTAGCCTGCCTCACTGACTAAAGTTCTTCATATTCAGAAATTATCAATTTTTCAACTCCCATCAATCGGTTTTTCTTAGTACAGCTGATATCATCTTGTGTTAAGAAGAAAGTAATCTGGTCAGACTCCTTCCTGGGAAAGAACGAATGACTTGTGTTCATCTTACCCGTGTCTGAAAGTATTGATCACCTGCAATGTGCGGTTAGTTAACAGAGCTATGGCTGCATTTTTATGAGAATGCCTCAACTCATGACTCATTCGCAGAAAAGTGGCAGTGTTGCAAAATAAAGTGTAAAAACATTCCATTAGTTTGTAAAAGGATATTAATATTTTGGGGTCACTTCTCATCTCTTAGGGTGAATTCTGAGCTGGTCCTGTTTATTCACAGTTGTTTCTGTTCTTCCATTTATGAACTTACAGATTTTCCCTACAGTCCTCAGGACATCTTTATGTCTGAGATACCTCCTTGATAATGACTCTACTACAGGCCAAAATGTTTCATTGTTCTCAGGAATGCTAAAGAGATGGCATCAATTATGCCTTTTCAAAGATTGCAAAATTCCAGTTTTGTACAATAATATGCCCAAAATTATGAGGATGCTAGCATTTCCTGAGCATTGTAATTAGTTCACAACTGGAAAATATTTCTGTAGTTGAGCATAAGTTGTATGTTTTAATTCTCCTTTTCCATTTCTGGCTCATGAAGTACATTTTTTGCAAATATGTTTGTGTATACTGACCATTCCTCATGAGTTACATCCCCCCACACACACACACATACGCACACACACTTTCCTATAGCCATGCTACTGGAGTAGCGCAGTGATAATGTATGACTTCAACCATGGTGTGAAACACCTCCAAGATTGCTTTAGAATGTATTATTAGGCAGTTCCCAGGTCATGAATGTCCAAGTTCCATGCAACTCATAGTTACGAACCAACCCCATAAAGTTTATTAAAAATTTGAAGTACATAGAGTTGGCCCTCAGTACGTACTAGGGACTAGTTAGATTCAACCAACTGCAGATTGAAAGTATTGGGAGAGTGGAGCAATTAA